CAGGACAGACTACCCAGACAGCCTGTGAAATCCCTCTTTGCCGGAGATTTTAGAGATGTTAGATAGACATTATTATCTCTACTCACACAACCAGACCATGGAGGAAACAGAGGAGAAGTCACTTCCAGCTTTATGTTTCTGTGAATGTATGTTTCAGACAAAAACAAGAAAAAAGAAAAAAAAAAAAAATCTCCAAACAAATTAAAAAAGCAACCAAACAACAACAGCAAAACAATAAAAACCACCCCACAGAAAATCAGTTTGCATACTGAAAGGATCAGTCTTTTGGAAAACAGTTCTTGTATTTCACTTATTTTTAAAATTCAGATTCAAGCAGTGAGCAGCTCCACAAAGTCTACAAGCTTAATAAAATTAATACTTGCTGCCTGTAAGCTATGCACAGATTCCAGTCCTACCCAACACAAACCATCACCCAGCCTGTTTTATTCAGGGCATAAACATTTTGTTCCAAATGAAACTTTACACTCAACTCACAGCCCTGGCTATGAAGTTAGATTCTGCCCAGAAAATGACAGCACATTTTCACGGCACAGCCAGACTGAGTCCAAACACAATACAGCTCCAGTGCCATGCACTCTGCTGTTAGGAATAAAACATTTCTGAAGAACCCAACATAGCAACTTTCTTGTCTCTTCGGTGAGAAAGGCGGAGGAAAGTGGTAACTGCCAAGGAAACAATGCCCCTGACTACTGAGAAATACTTAATGGGATATAAAAAGGAGGGGGGAGGCAACAATGTAAAAGTCAACAAATTATTTTTCAGAGAAGTAAGTGCTAGAGAGGTGCTATCAAAACAACCACTTCAACGAACTTTGCCATAGCAATAATTGTAAGAAATAGAGTAATGCTTCCCTCTTTGTCCAGGGGGAAGTGAGGTTTGCCTGCCTTCATCAGAGAAGGGCAGGCAGACAATTCAGCCAACCCTTTATGTGTGGTTCCTTTGAGGGTAGAAGGGAGGTATCTGTGTAGTGTCTCGGGGCTTGAAATTTGGGTTCATCAGATGAGCACAGCTTCCATTTCCTCCCAGGCTGTGCCTATTGCATGGTGCAGAACCCAAGCACTGAAGTTTGCCTGGGCAATGGAAGCAGCTTAGCTGAAATGTCACCGAGGTTCCCAGAGGCTGATACACCTGATGGCAAAGGGGCTCTCCTCAGCGAGGGAAACAGCTCTCTGCAGGATCCTGGGCTTTCTTTACACAGCTAGGCAGCTACTGAAGCCCGAGTCTGGCCCACAGGCTGTGCTTGTATGTGAGGTTATCCACCAGCCATACCAGTGTGCTCCTCAAGCAAACAGCCTTGTTTCCATCTCCTGGGTTAGTATTTCTGAGACAGCTCCCAAGACAAACAGAAAAATAAATTTAATTTTTAGATTTCATCTGAATAAGCCATAAACAGTGGGTATAGCTTTAGTAAATAATTAGAAATTGGGGTGCAGATAGGTTTAAAAAAACACTTTTATACGCAAGATGCATAGAGTCAGTTTGTAATTCAAAACACTGAATTAGAAGAACTGAGTTGGATAGCTAAAGGAGGCTTTTCCTCATGTCACACAATTCATATTTCAAAAAAATTATTATGAGATACTAAAGTAACTTTAACTGGCAAGACAGAATTAGATAAAGATGCTTCTGCTCGCTCATTTTAATTAATAATTAAAATGATCATTAAAAATAATATTTCAATCTCTATCCCATCCCTTACACACTTCAATTCTTACAGCCCTGATGAACCACACAGATACAGATTGATGGAGATATTCACAAAAAGATAAAACCACATTCTGTTTGCTTTAATTTTCACTTTATACTTCCCACAAATAATTTACACATTAGACAATGGAATGCTGTCTACCCTGGCCATGTATAAAGAAGGAAAAGTGGTTTAGTATTGCATATCGCAGAACGCAAGCAAGTGAAATGAGGAACGATTATATCTTTAATATCTGGTCCCTATGAACACCCAAACAAAATTCTTTAGCAATACTGGGGAAGAGCTCAAAGGTTCACCAAACACCTCTTCAGGCACAAACCCCCATGATTAACACATCAGAATACTCTGCAATTTATAGGCATATAAATATTTCTCATAGTTCTGAACAAAAGATTTAGAAATAGGTATTTCAAATAATTTGAGAAGAACAAAGAGGCACAAACCATTTTTGCCCAATACTACTTATTAAAGCTCTGCCTAAGACCATTATCAGTAAAACATCCTCAATGTAGCCTATCTCCTTACAAGGACTATTACATGATTTAAATACAGAGTTACCAGATAACTGTTAAGATCTGTATTTTATGAAGGAAGCCAGTATTATTTTCCTCCTAATAATCAGCAAATATTACTGAATCTAGAGCTAGCTTTTTAGTATTAATCTTCAGTTACAAAAGTGAAGAACCACCTACTTCCTTCGTTCATATTCTAGATTATGAGTGGAACTATCATCTCCAGCCCCACTGTAAGATTTTTTTGTGTGTGTGGTCATCGTCTTTATGCATCTTTTCATCTTCCCTTTCCTGCCCATACTAAGCCCAGGTCCTTGTGGAGCTCTCTCCAAAGAGGTCCAGATATTCTCCTCCAGACAGAAACTTAAAAACCTGTTATGAAAATAGTTTCCCTCTGATGTCATGATTTTGCATTTATAAACACTCAGTTCTGTACACTGCTGAGATATAGTATCCATTCACTAATCAGAAGTAAGAATTAATAGGGGGTTTCAAAGCTACAAAGGCAGCATTTTCACTCTGATGGGAGCATACAGTTCATGCTTTGGGGGAGGGGAATAGAAGAAAGAGTGTTGGCTCTTTCATGAACATAAAAGGGCAGAATTACACATTAGTGTAGCTTCCCCATGTATAGACATTTTTTTTCTGAAATGCAGTGTAAACTTAAAATCATCCATTAGATTCTTTAACTAAAGCTCAAATCATCCATGTAATTACTCTTACAGAGGATTATGACCAAGGTTTTTTAAAACGAGAATAGTTAAAACTGCACAATTATGAAATAAATCACAATGGGAAAAGAGGTTCCTATTCACAAAACAACCAAGCTGGCATCGTTAATATCCTTTTAGAAAGGCAAAACCAGAACCGAAATACTGGGAATGCTGTTGCCGGGTCAGAATCGAGGTGAATTGGCAAAACCGTGCAGATGGGCTCCTACCGCACCTGCCCAGCCCTTGGCCTGCTACAAATCCATACTTGCTCCTTCAGTAACCTTCTCCTTCATTCCGTAACCTTCTCCTTCATCAGGGCACTGAAGTTTTCACAAAGGGGAAAAAAAAAGCCTACACTTTTTTAAAAATACATTTGAAAGAAAAGTTGAGATGCTGGGCATTCTTGATTCACGTGTGCTCTAAAACCAAGATTTTTGACCTTCAGAAGTCCCTTCCCCCGGCTAAAGCCGGGAAAAAAACGGAAAAAAAAATAAAAACACTCCTCAGTAACTACCACAGAGAGACGCTGCAGACATCAATCTAAAATAATGGCAGTCAAAGGTCAGGATGATATAGGCAACATCAAGCTTTTCATTTAAATATCTTCCTGAACGAGACCTCTTTATAGGCAGAAGCAAGAAAATCAGGGACTATCCAGTCAGTGATGAAGAAACTGCCTAAACGTGTGTCATCTACAGGATTTTCCTAATAATGACACCAGTATCTTCAACTTTGACAAATAAATTTGAAGACCTCACTGAAATATAATACACAAACTACCATCACCTTGTTCGGTCATGTCAGCAAGATTCAGCAGTTTTTTTTACGAAGATTCACTTATGAACTATACACAGCAGATTACAAAATAACATTAAAAAAAAAAAAACAAGCACTGCGAATTGGATGTCGATCAGTAAAACGACACAACAGTCGTAGGAGTCTTCCAAAACTGATGGAAAACGCATAATGCAAGAACAATTGGTATTACTGCCTAACAAAGCTGGGTAACACTCAGAAGGCTCCAACATGCTAATCTGTCACCGTGACAGAAAAGCAAAGGATGCCAGACCAATACACATCCCTCTTCCAGTACCCTACACATCTAACACCGAGCTTCCGAACATAATAAAAAATAAGGACTAGAGTGCCCAAAAATATGAGTAAGCATGCTCTTAGCGTATCTGCTTTCAACTTCTTGTTATTAAAAAAAGAGTACTCTTCAAGATCTTTCAGCATTCCTCAACAGTGTTTTGTGTTATTGTTCTATAAACACAAGTGACAATAGAAATAGCTACATTTTTGCTTCAGATCTCTCCTCCAAGAAAAAAAAATTACACATTTCATTAAGTCTGTTATAAAAGTGCAGCACATGTTTAAGGCCCATAGAAGCACCGATGCTGATAAAATTAAAAATGGCTGTGCCCGAAGATCCCACAGCAAAAACAAGCACAGCTCTGCTGCAGATTAAAATATATATTAAAAATTCCCGCATTACCTTACAAAGGGCGAGGTATGCAAAACAAAAAGATTATATGTATTTCCAAAACTGAAGTAAGCTATTAGACAAGAGATGCAGATCTAGGCAAAGCATGCTTCTTGAGTGCAAGTCGAGTTCATTTACACAATAAAGCAGCATTTTATTCCCCGAGACACTTAACGTATCGGGATTTCAAAACTTTTATCAGGCTTCGCCACTGAAATAGATGCACACCACTCTGTAGGGAGAGGAGACACAGATGTGCCCAAATACCAGCGGACCCCACCCCCTTCCCGCTGCCAAAATGGCCAGTTCGTTCCACCCCGTGGCTACTCACCAGCCGCAGTGCCGAGCAGCAGGGTGGCACTGGAGAGCAGGAGCACCAGCACAAGGTGCTGCAGTGAGGCAGGCATACCTGGGCAAGCCACGGTTCGAACCAGGAGGAGGGGGGAAAAAAGAAAAAAAAAAAGGGAGGTAATAAAACCAAAAACCCGACGAGAGGAAATTCCTCCTGCTTTCGCACAGCCTTCCTCAACTCTCTCGGTTTACAATCCCGCCTGGAAGGGCAAATGGCAGATGAGGGGAGCCGTCTTCGCTCTTACTCCATTACAGCCGCCTGCCTTCATGCCTGGGGAGCGGGCAGCGCTCGGCGGACACGGGGGAAGCGCCTGGCTCTGCCTCCCAGCCCCGAGGCATCTCCCCCGCCGGGGAGGACGGCGGCACTCTCCCGACCCCGCTGGGAACCGGGCTATTTCCCACGCAGCTTCACGACATCGAAGAAAGAGCCCGGTTGGGATGGGAACATATCCAGACGCGCCCACAGCGTTGTCAGTCAGCGCGGCCCCCGCGGGCTGGCCCGGGCACGGAGGGCGAGCTAAGGGCTCACGGCAGCGCCGCGTCCCATCCCGGCAAAGGTCTCTGTCCTCTGGCCGGCCCTCCTCGCTGCCTCACGCTCCGAGGAAGGCGGCGGCGAGACCCGCCGCTCTCACGGCGAGGGCTGCGGCCGCATCCCGGCCCATCTGCCTCCCGCGCCGGGCGGGCTCCTCCGCGCTGCCCCGGCCCCCGCCGCAGCACCGACGCCACCCCCGGCCACCCCGACAAAGGTGGGGTCCGGGGCGGCGAGGCCCCTCCTCGGCGACTCCAGCTGCGAGCGCACCCGGCTGCTCTCCGCAGGCGAAGGCCCTTCCCCTCCTCCGCCGCCCGCCCCGAGTTTCCACAGCGCCGGGCAGCCCGGCCCGGCCTCCTCCCTCCGGTCTCGGCTCAGCCTCTCCGCGCTGCCAGCGCCTTCCTCCCCCCGCGCCGGGTTCGCCGGCGAGGGGCCGCTCCGCCTCCTTCCCCTGCCCGCCGCCGGCTGCGGGCGGGAGCCGAGCGAGGGCCGGAGCTCCGCCGCCGCCCGCGCCCCCTCTCGCCCGCCCGCCCCAACAGCACGGGCAGCTCCAGACACAAAGGGGAGTCGCTGCCGCCGCCGGCCCGGGCGCCCGTCCCGCCGCGCCGCCCCCGCCGCCCGGCCCCGCCCCGCACCATAGAGGTGGCTCCAGGTAGGCAGAGCGGGCCGCCCGGGCGGAGCTCCGCCGGGCTGCGGCAGGGGGCGCGGGGCTCCGGGCGCCGCCGGGGCGGAGGGCACCGCCTCGGCAAAGGGAGTGGGACGCGGAGCGGCTCCGTGAGACGGGGAAGGCCTCGGCGGACCTTCCCGGGAAGGCCGCGGAAAGGCGGCGAACAGCCCCCCAGGCAGTTTGTCTCTCAGAGAGGCTGTCAGCAGGGAGGCGTGAGCTCAGGAATCACAAAAACCGCCTTTAACAACAAGAAAAAAACGTTTAGCAGACTCTGAGATTGCATCAGCTTTGAACTCCGTGGCCTGCCTGTCAGACACCCCGGAGCTTCTGCCTCGTCCTCTAGTTCAAGCCCCCGTTATCTTTGTCCCTGTGAGCTCCGCTGCAAGCACTGGCCATACCACCTCCCTCAGGGAACTCAGGCAAGTCACAGAATCAGTGAGGTTGGAAAGGCCTCTGGGATCATCGAGTCCAATCTAAGACCAAACACCATGTCAACCAGACCATGGCACTTAAGTGCCGTGTCCAGTCTTGTCCTAAACACCTCCAGGGACAGCAATTCCACCACCACCCTGAGCAGCATCCCAATATCTAATCACCCTGTCTGTGAAGAATTTCTTACTAATGTCCAACATAAAGTCCACCCAGCTCATACAGCTTCAGCCACCTGACTCTCCCAAGCAAAACCATTATCTGCTGCTTAAATTAAAGAGATTTTATGATTTCAAAACAAAGATAAAGGTCAGCCCACTGTGCTGTTTGTATGCTTTAACCTTTGCTACACTGCACAGGACTAAAGAGATAAATTGAGGCCAGCAGCTGATGGGAGAGCTGTGACTGGAACGTGCTGTCTGATGTTCTGGCCTAGCAAGGCTCTTTCAAACAAGTTTTACTGGCTATAGTGCAGAAAAAAGTTCTAAAGAACACTCTGCACACAGAAAGCACTTTCATATATGGGCTTCACCAAAGGCCTGATTATGGGAAATGCTTCTCTGTGCCAAAATTCCTATACCAGTTTCAAGGATGGGATACAAGGAATAGAAATTCAAAAATCCAATTCCACACCTCAAAATACTAAGTGCTACTGCATAAAATTTTGTAGTTGCAAATAAGAGTTATAATTTTAGTGATGATAAAAGGTTTTAGCATAACTCCATTTCTCCTCACAAGCCATAACAGGTGAAATAGATGTAATCTGATTCTTTCATCATCAAGAAAATTATTAAATAAATTCCAATAGCATTTTTGTCATCGTGATGCTTTACCCAGAGAGCACGTAGTTTGACATTCCTAGGGTCAAGATGAATTTATATGGCTGATAGTTATAAAAATGTTTTTTAAAGTATCCTACAATATCTTCACTTCCAATCTATGGAGATCTAACGTGGATATTGGTGAGAGACAATAAAATATAGAATCCCAGATTGTAATTTGTATTGCCACTTTCCAGAATTGCAACCACATGTTAACCACAGTATCCTTCCTGTTATTTGTGGAATGTGAACTGTCAAGAAATAACCTTTAGAAGCAAAAAAACAAAACAAAACAAAACAAAACAAAACCAACAGTCAGAACAGTTTTACCTCCAAGAGAGGGAACTCTCCCCCCCCAACATTAAGTATTTTTTGCAGGCCCAAAATCCAGAGTTCTTTTCTGATTCAGCAAAGACACCAAACTATGCAAAAGACCTTCTGCCCAGCTGAACCTGTCAATAAAAGAAGCGAGATCTACCTTGTTCAGAGAAAACAAGAACCTAACTTTGTGTGGGTTGTACAGCACTTTCACTGTTTAGATGGTAAAAGAAAATTACTGTAATTGTTTATGACATGTATGAAAACCTGCTCACCCTGAAGTAAATGACAGAAGTCTCACTTGTTTTAATGGTTCTAGTTTTGGCTCATTAATTAATACTAGGAATTGTTGTCCACAAGAAATTGTACAAAAACATATATTCTGCCTTAAAATACCTTTCTTTTTTTCTCGCCACAAAATGGATTGGATTTTTGTTCCGTTTTTGTCCTAAAAAGAAGGAACAAGACATGCCATTTTTACTACAATTATTTCCTCTTATTTTCACAAAAACCCCAAGCCTGATCAAGAAAACACCCTTGCGAAGGCCACGGGGCTGTGGATCTGCTTCAACTGAGCTTATATCAAGTCCTTGGACTAATCTCGCAGACTTGCAGTCCCAGCAGTTTGCAAGAATTTCCCCTCCTTCCTTAACCTATTTTGAATTTTGCAAAAGATCTTCTCTGCAAGGGCCAGGTCCCTCCCAGCCCGGGGTGGCTGTGAACGCCGCTCACAGCCCCTGGCCACCACTGACGCCAGGCTGCAGAGCAGGAGCCACTGCACCCCCGTTTCTCTGGAGCTGGCAGGGCCGAGGAGGGGCTGACCCCTCCTTCACCACATGGATGTAGAAAGCAATCGCTGCTGTCTAAGCACAGAAGCAGCTTCCTTTTCCCACGGTGGTGAGAGGAAATCAGAGATCTAAACTGTCACACTCAAGCTCACCCATTGTTATGTGCTTGGACAAGAACATATTTATAATCCTTTCTGTGGTATTGTTTTATCTGTAAGCTAGGATTTCACTAGCCTAATATCCAGCAACATCCAGTAAGACCTACAGAAAAGTACTCACAGAGCTTCAGCACAGTAAATCTGTGGTGCAGGTTCAGCCAAAGGTAGGAGAGAGACAAGAGAAAACATGTAAAATTTACCAAGATCTAAAAAAACAATGTTCTGACTGAAGCACTGTATTTCCACCAGGAAGAACAATGAAACAACACTACTGAACTTAACAGAGACAACTGTTTCAAAGTAATAGGAGGAAAGACCTTAGGAACTAGATGGTCTTTTGCAGCTGTGTTCCCTGTTCCAAGGCAGGCAGAGGCAAGGCTGCCCCAGGAGCACAGTCATGGGGCCGGCACAGGGAGGACAGTGGCAGAGGAGCCAGGGTATGGTGGCTGCAAGCTCCTAGAGACGCGAGTCAGATACACAGCAGGGGACTTGTGTGTTGCCCTCGGGCGAGGGAGCTCAGAGCAGAACAGCCACACGCAGCACGCTGGGGCTGCCCTTTGCTTCAGTGAGACACTGAGAGCAGAATTACTGCTGATATGAAGCTCAGAAGTTTCCCGCTGTCGGTCACACTGATGCAGACACAAACATATTGATATCACTTGCAAATTCAACACTGCATGCAAGTGAAATTAAACACGTCCTTGTTAGAAGCAGCTCCTTTAAACAACACACATCTTTGTTTTTAATTAACTGGAATATGAGAAACTATTTTCATGCTACCAAGAGAGTGTACCAATCAAAGAATGAAGAAAACCGAAGTGAACTACCAAACAATAGCTTTAGCTCCATTTCTTTTCAGAAAATCCAGTGTCCAGGCACTTTAAAAAGATTTCTCAGGATAGGTTCACTGTTATCCAAGAGTTTTTCAGCGCTGACGCAACACAACTGTTATCATCGTTAGGACTCAGGGGACTGTTCTTTTTGACAGGGCCTTTCAAGAAGTCAACAAATCAGTTTAAAACAAGCCATAAATTATATTTGGCTGCCCATCGGCTTGGCCGGAGTGTTCTCTCAGTGTTGGCGTAAGTGTTGGGGAAAGAATACAACAACACAGCACGGTATTTAGCTTTTAGGGGATATTTTGTTCCTAATTTAAAAACAAAGCACCCCCCTAACATTGACTGATGCATAAACATATGTTAGAACAGCAATCAAGATGTTCACAGACTTTTCTACAAATAAATACACCCCTTCTAGATCCTAAGTAATAACTTAATAAATAATGGATTTGGTACAGGTCTCCACCACGAATGCCTGCCACTCATTGCTAAATTAGGGAACTGTCAGCAAGGCCAACTCCCTAGTCTTGCCTCCTGTATGTGGAGAGAGACATGATTCCTGATAGATAGGATCCAAGCCTTCTGTAACTCTCTAGATATTATTAACATCCTGAATTGCAGCCAGAACGCGCTGAAAAGACAATACTGTCTACTTACAGTCTGCTGAGTTAGCAGTACAGCTTCAGCCAGGGCAGCCAAACAAGTAATCACACGCGGACGTCACTACCCTCAGAAGTATTCAGTTCCTTGTTCTATATGGCTTTTCCCATCAGTGTCCAATCCAGGGTGTTGCACAGAGACATCAAGGCACCCCTGTAAATCCTCTTAGAGTTCCAGGTCAGGGTAGGGAGGGTGGCTGTGGGAAGACCATTGGTACAGAGAAGTGGGCACATGATATGCAGAAAGAAAAACAATGAAACTTCTGGGGATTTTACATGCAGTCTGGACCCAAAAGAACCTTTCTCCATCATGGACACACTTCTTTGGAAACAGGGAAAGGCTCCCTGCCCTTCAGAGGCTCCCTGCAACCTACCAGCAGCACTTGCATCTTTGAATTATTGTTGGTTTCTGCTCCTTTTCCAGGGCTTGGTTTTGTCTTGGGAAAGCACATTCCACAAAAGAGGTACAGAGGGACATCCAGCCACGACTGAAAACCCAGGAAAGTCTTTTGTGGGATTAAAGTCAGTTTCCTTCTGTTTTTTCTGACAGGCAGGAAGAACACTATCCACGACAGTCAGTCTGCCCTGCCAAGACGCGACAGTGGCAAAACCTCATCACATACCCGAGCAGGCTCTCGTGCTCCCAGTCCTACTAACAGCCTTAAGGAAATGGTAAATCAAACTCCCTTCCTCAGAGGGAACTGATTTCCCCCTTAGTCCAGTTAAATAATCTGTGCCAGATATTACTTCTTGTCTTTAGACTCATAAAAGTCTATCTGAAGACTGTTACAACTTCACTTTTCTTTGTGTCTGAAGCATAGAAAAGAGCACCAACTGTCAAGCTTTTGGGAAAAATCCCCACATTTGTGAATATGAACTGGTGTTTTCAGTCCTGGGTTTTTCTAATTCTTCCATGTTGCTGTCTAACCTACTGCAAGGTGAATCACACTCCACAATGAAGTGATGACATCACCATCCTATAACAGAAGTTTTGTGGCAGCTTTGTTTACCTTTTCATGGCAAACTTTTAATAAATTTAATGCAAAAATTAATTACACCACTTTTGTGGCAGTCCCCAGAAAGATCTATTTTGGTATTTACCTTCTTTTGTTTTATGCTGGTCTCACATTCACTGATTTTGGTATAGTGAGTGGTTTCCTATGGGGAGCCCATAATTGCACGATCAAAGGTGTGAGGATAAAGCCTGGGAACATAAGCAAGTGGTGTGGGACAGGTAAGGCTTTGGTACACAGGGAGGAGGAGGAGGAAGGTGCACACTGTGGGATAAGCAAAGGGAGTATTTTGTATCTAAAAGGATTAGCCATGAAATAGTTGAGAGACATTTTTACATTTCACAATACATGATATTTCCCTGTGATAATGAACTACCAGCAGTGTTGGTAGCAGTTGCTGTCTTGTTTTAGAGATAACACTGCTTAGTCTGTGGAAATCTTATCTCCATTTTGGGGGTGGAGGTGAGAGAAGCTTTCAAGATAGCTCTGAGAAGCACCTCCTACTTTGAATTAAGTCTGAAATCATATGTTAAAGGCCCTTTACAGCTTTCCTGAAATCTCTTGGCTTGTTCATCACAACAGAAGATGGGAAATTTGCTGCAGGGTGTTCATCAGTTCAAAACATCACTTATTCATTAAATCCAACAATGGGCTTAGTCAGAAATAGAAATGTAATGAGCGGTGTCAGAATCATCTCCTGGTCCGTAGCAGAGGGGTATGTCATCGCCACAGACCTGCAGGGTTTCATTCCTGAGAGCTACCTGAGCCTTCTCATACTCACGACAGGCGGCTGGGAACGGAGCTCAGGGAATGTCCAACACACTCTCCTGCTACTGTTACCTTCCTTGTTTCTTCTGGGTTTGGGTTGTTGGGTTTTTTTTCTTTTTCTGTTGTTGGTTGGTGTTTTTTTAATCACTCACTACATGAGCTAGTTAGCAGTGCAAGCCAGGTTTGTTTTCAAAATCCACCTTTTCTTTTTTGTTCTTTAATTTATTGCAGACAATTAGGATTAGACTTAAAAATATTTCTCCAGTCAGCTCCATACTTCTAGCAGGAAGCTAATAAAAATGCCCTTTGAGAACAAAATGCAAGCATGTGAGAAAGGCCTGCACTCAGTTTGCCAAGGTGGAGGTCCAGAGAAAGCAAGCTCTGTGTGTGCTCATGGCTGGCCATCCTTGAACTCCACACCAGTTTGACAAGTGTCAGGCATTCATCTCAAGGAGAGAAGCAGTGTCTACAACATGAACTTTTTGCTTGTTATTTTAAATGACAGTGTGGAGGGAACATCTTTTGCTCAGGCTTCTTACAACAGTTCCCCTTGGCAATGAGAAAGGAGGCATCAAACATGAACCCAACAGCACAGCTTATCAGGTTTTGTCTTCTCTTACAAAGGCAAAAATAAGTGAAAACACAGCTAGAATTGAAGCACCTTTTAACTCAGTGTTTGCTGCCACTGCAAGCACGAGCCATTGCTGCTCTGAGTGTGCCTGCCCAGCGTTCCTCTCCTGCACTCAGCCAGCTCCAGGAACATCACCTAGAAGGTGATCACAAAGGAAGATACAAGTAAATTATTACCTTTTACTATACCAAACAGGAAATTTCTATCCCTTGGGCTTCTGCCTGTAATATGACATCTGTTGCATGAGGATTTTGAAACATTTTTATCTGTGAAGAATGTTCCTTCACATCAAGAAGTGAGTCAGTATCTCTATATGCCCTGCTTGCCTCTCATAAATCAGTCTGGAAACATGAGCCCAACTTAAGTGCTTCCCCAAAGAATTCCTCAGGAATCCTCTTGCTGAAGAGACACAGGCCAGACCACTGACTGCAGCCACCGGCACCAGTCCTGAGCTACTCAAGCACACAGCAATTGTTGATGGTACAGTTGCTCCCTGCACCGTCTACAAACATTTGAAATTGCAGAGGCCTAAAAGGCTTTAATTCACAAATGAGAACCAGGCTTTGAGAGGCCATTTCCAGAGCACGGCATGGGCTGTGCAAGCCTTGGGTAGGCAGCTTAGGGGGCACAGACGGCCCTCGGACTCTGTGAAACCTCTACCTCTGCTTGCAATTTCAGATTAAAAGGCAGAGACAGAGATGAGGATGGAGAGACAAGTGGGCAGAGACTTCTACAGGAAAAATTGCCCTTCATCTCCATAGTAAAGGGTTTGTATTTTTTCTATAGACGAAAGCCCATCAAAAGCAGAAAGTACCATCTCCCAGAAATGCCATATGAGGTGCTTTATGTTTCGTAAGTTTAAAGGAATTTTTCCTTCTTTCTTCCCCCCCACCATTTGCCACAAAATAATTGCAAAGTTTTGCATATTGCTTTTTCCCCTCCCTTCCTTTTCCCTGCCCCTCACTGAGTTCAGTAAAATCAATGTCTCTAGTGTTTTTGCCAGTTCACTTTTGTATTCATTTACTTTTAACCACCCCCTCAACTTTGGAGAGGTTGCATTTAGCAAAAGGAAAAACCACCACCCCTGTACCTCTGCCTTTGTAACTGCTGAAGCTCTCACACTCCCAGGAGCAGCGGAAGGGTGGAAGGGATGTGAAGTGAGGGCAGACAGTAGCACAGACCCTGAACTAAATGTTGAACAAGAAAGAGGAGGGAAGTTGTAGGCAGGAAAGGGGAGCCGGGGAGGGAGAGGAGGAGTGAAACAGTTACAGGAGAGGGTTACATTTGAATTTGCATTTGGTGATTTAACAAAAAGGGTCTCTATTATCCATGACCAAACCTCCCTGTGTGGTTACCATTTTACTGTGAGTCAGCTATTTGTACAGTAAGAGTTGCTGTGTGACACTGTCCCCACCAGTGCTCCCATCAGTGTTATGATCAAAAAGGAGCAGAGCAATAGGAGGAATCCCATGGGCTGTGGAGATCAGGTCGAAACCCCAGGGTTTTGCCTTAGTGACAAGAAGGTGCCGGTGTGCCTGCCCAGGAGTGCACCCCCAGGGGGTCTCTGTGCCTGCAAAGGGAAGCACATTAACTCACAGTAACAATGGGAGCACCTTAGATCTTCCAGACGTCCTGGAACGCGAGGCCATCACTGCAGCTATCTGCCTGGAAGGGCTGGAGATCAGCACATGTAATTGTAGGATGAAGAAAGCTCCCGCAGGGGCCAGCACACAGGTGTGACCTGCTGGCTGTTTGGTTGCACCCCTGAACGGCACCATGATGGGCCAGAGCTCCCTGCCTGCCCCACAGGACGGGGCAGAGCCAAGCGAAGAGCTGTCTAACACAAAGCCCCGCTTCAGATGTCCCCAAATTCAGATAACCAGATTGCACCCAAAACTGCTGCAGAGCCAGAGCTGGGCTTCGTTCCTCCTCTCCATCCCACAACTGCCCTGCTCCTTTGACCTGGCCCCAACAGATTCAGACACAGTGACGGGAGGGGGGGATGTCAGCCACATTTTGTATGGGACAGAAGACTCCCCACTCAGAAGGAAACAGCAACTTCCAGGTTTCTCTTGGCTTAACCAAAAGCTGTAAAGTATATTCCTCCTGCCCTCCACCAGCATTCAAACCTCCCCTGCGTATTTTGTTGATGAAATCTCTCACCCCAATTGAAGAGATAGCAGTGTTTGCTAAACATGCCCTGCCTTGCTACCAGAAGAGCTTCTGACCTTGTTCTGTCTTCTTCTTGGCATTTGGCAAATACTTATCAGTGCTTGCAGTGACCTCCAGCCAGCTGGACAAAAAGCTTCGGAGCCAAACATGTGCACAAATAATTCCAGGGGCAGCTGTTACTACTGGATTATCTCTTCCTGTGGCTTCTACTGATACAAATAGTTAATACATGCTGCAGTTCACAGCCCCTTTCTCTTTAGCAAACCAAGACCCATCTTCCTTCAACTTGGGGCCATTAAACCCATCTCAACAACAGGGGCTTCAATCTGGTACTACCCTGAGTTGCCAAATGTATCTTACCAGATGAAACAGCCGAAGTCACAGATCACAGCCCAGCCATCTTTACTGAGAAGGTCACCATTTAATCACTCTTCCCAAGTTATGTGTAACAGAGGCCATTCGGTGCATATCCAAACACAGCACCCTCTCTCCAACCCCTCTGGCCTCCCACAGCCCAGACATGAGGTGTTTTCTCACCCTGATGCATTGAGGTCCACGCCTGATCAGAGTTCATTCAACCTGAAGAACAGCAATGACTCGCTTCCAAAAAATGAGACTATTATGGCTAGAGACCATTATGAAAGCCTGCGTGAAGCTGAGACCAGATGTGTGCTCGGATCACTCCAAATGTTGCTTAGAGCAAAGCCCTGGATTGTTTTGGTTTTGTTTTTTTAACAAAACAAAACAGAGGATTGACAGAATCTCCTCTGTAACAAGAAGGATTTTCTGATGGTTTTCTGCACTGCTCTCACAGATGCGTGGCTGGACTTGGAGCTCACACCCACTAACAGTGAGCACAGCAGCTCTCAGAAGGTGGAGGAAGACTTGAAAGGAGCCCTTACATGACAGGATGGAAGTGATGGGGATGCCGCCCTATTTAAGTTCAGCTCCCGGAATCAGCTTGTGGTCACTGGGACTGTGTTAGTTTTTCAGTGGGATGCTCTGTACCATCCCCTGGAAATGAGAGCGATCGCATGGCTATGATCACTTTCTGCCTTTACAGCAAACCTTTCATCAGAGGAACTCAAAGCAACTTGCCAGCAAGAACGAGCACAACCTCACACTGTGCCTGCGAGATAAGCGAAGGATGGAATAGATTAACTGCTTAAAAGCACACAGCAGCTCTGTGGGATGAAGGAAAAACAAGAAAAAAAATATATATGCATACACGTTTGAAACCGTACAGGGTTTTATGGAGAGGCAGCCTGGAAGGCTGCCAGGATGCTGAAATTGCCACCCCTACACAACCACGAATACCATGGAAACCAGTGGGGCACCGGCAGGCAGGAAGGGAAATCAGCTGAAAAATGGCTTTCCATGAAATGCAGCCAGGCTGGGACACTGCTCCCCTCCTGACTGAGGGAGGACTACGTGCCTAACCACCAGTGCTGCTGCTGGTGAGAGCTGGGCTCCAGGAAGGAATAATTCCCAGTAATTTCCCAGCCTGGGGTAACATCGCTTTCCTGGCGGCAGCCAGTGGATGACAGCAAAAAGAGGGATGGCTGCAAACTGCTACATCATGTCAGCTGTGGTATGGAGGCAATGGAAACCCTGAGTGCCAGGTAAAGCTTCAACACGTGCTGGGAGGTGTAGGAAGATCAAAGTCAGTTGAGATCTGAACGAGGACAGGGAAGGAACGTGTATGCGCAAGCTCCTGCCTGCCCGGTCTGGTGAGGC